GAACGGTTGGTGAAAGGGCTGGAGGGAGGCAGCATGTCTGGCCTTGCAGTAATAGGCCTTGGTTTACTGCTAATAATCCTGCCTTCCCCTTGTAGGGTTAGAGGAGGTCAGAACATGTGGCCTCCTTGCCGTTTTTGCACAGTTAGTTCCTATATCAAAGTAAAAATCAATGGCGGTCTTCTTCAAGGGAAGGACTTGGCCTGCTCCCTGTCCCCATGGGAAGGATAAAGCTTGGGTGCCAGGTTGAACCACTACCCACCCATCCCCTGCCTACAGAAGCAGCAGCAGGTGAGCCAGGAGCAGGGGACACCTGGGCAGAAGGCATGTGTGCAGGACTCATGGGCCATCCCAGCCACTGCCATCTCCATGGTGCACTCTGGGCTGCAGGGTCCAATGCCCAGCCTTCCAGGGTCAGTAACTGGGGAAGTGGAGGTTGCCTGGAAACAGCAGTTTGGCATTGGGGTAATCTCATAAAACAAGTGGCAGAGATGTTAATTCCCTTCTCTCAGTAATGAATAATCAAATATCCGGAGACTTCAGCTGAAAATAAACTGCCTCCAGATGCCCGGGCTGCCTGGCTCCACCCAGGCCTCCCAAGCCTGCAGCCCTCGGAACCTTAGCCATCTGGCCTGAGCCTGTTACAGCAGGCAATGGTTGCTGAAGCAGGGTCCAAGTGGGGAGGGTAAACTGAGACAGCCTTTCTACTGCATCACAGGCAACCTGCCTTCTTGCCTCTGGGTTTGCTCCCTTCCCTCCTCCTGAAAGCTGAGAAGACGCCACCTGCCTCCTCTGCCACACACACACACACACACACACACACACACACAGGCTCAGGCTCTTGGAACTAGGCTGATGAGTGGGTGTCCACCATCCCTGAACTGGGGAAGCACTTGAGGCTGCTGGAACCAAAGGTGGGGCATTCCCCTGTAAATAATGTCTTCTGGGACACCTCTTCCTAATAACAAAGATAATAACAGTAATAGTAGTGACAGTAATAACAGTAATAATAACGGCTAACACTATTAAGTATTTACTATGTGCCAGGCATATATTAAACCAATTTAATTCTCACAACAATCCAATGAAGACTACTAATACTACTAACATATACAATAATAAAATGTAATATATAATTATAACTATATCCTCATTTTTACAGGTGAGGAACCTGAGTCATGGAGAAGTAGGTGAGTTGACCACAGTCACAGATGTAATCTACGGCAGAGCAGAGATTCAAACCTCACTGTGATCTGGTTCCAGAAGCTGTGCTTGTCCCATAACACTGTCCCACCCCACTGAAAAATGGGGCTCTCAGTACACAGACCTGTGATGACTCCCTCAATGCCCTGTCCACACTCATGGTACCAAAGATCATGGTGCTCCCCATTCATTCATTCATTCATTCTCTCACCCATGCACATACTGAGCACTAGGCTGGTTCTGGGGTCTGATGATGAAGAAGATACAGTCTGCCCTTCCAGAGCTCATGGTTTTGAGGAGGCAGGCAGCTATGCATGTTCTAATAAGGGGAAGAGCATAGGTGCTGCATCTGAGGTGTTGGAGAAGGCTTCCCTGAAGAGGTCATTTCTATTCACTCCTACCTGAGAATTGACTAGAAGAAACCAGATAAGATGAAGAAGGACATTGAAGATAAAGACACAAGTAACAGAGAGGTCACAAAGTGCCCGGAGTGTGACATGAGAACATAAAGTTCAGTGTCGAAGGTACAGGGGGTGGGGGAGGCAGCAACCAGGGGGCAGGCGAGGCCAGGAAGGGTCTCATAAACTATTCTCTGGAGCTTGGACTTTATCCAATGGGGGCAGCAAGCCACTGAAGCAAGGCAGAAGCAAGGTCTGATCATTGGTTCTGACAGATTTCTCAGGATGTTGGGCAGAGGTAAGGAGTGGGATAGGAAGCAGGCCTAGAGGTAGGAACCACTCATGAGGTGACAGGAGAGGTTGAGGTGACAGGAGAGGTTCAGGTGAGAGGCCAAGACAAAGGCCAGCAGAGGAGGTGGACAAAAGTAGGCAGTTGTGACATCAAAGAAGTGGACTCCATGGGCGTAGGGTTGAGGGAGTGGGTGAGAGGGGAAAGGTCCAATCCAGCTGCCTCATTTTAAAGAAAGCATCCGGGGTTTCAGGTGAGAAAGCGCCCCTCATACCCCTCTCTCAGCTGAGGGGCAGGGCACCTGAAGGCCAGCAGGGACGCTTCCATTTTAGCTCTGGCACCACAGAGCCTGTTGAGTGAGAGAGAATTTATGCTGTATCAGAAATATCTATGCACAGGGCCCGTCTCAGCATTCCTAGAACCGCTCCCAGGACTTCACAGGGCAACCTGGAGTCAAGGCATCAGCGCCAGGCTTTCCTCCAGAACACAGAAATGACCCAGACCTTCAAGGAGGCCAAGGCATGAGAGGGATGGGGCTGACCAGTTCTCCCCTAAGGCCCTCTTCCAACACCAGCAGCTCTACTGAGGCTCAGACCCTCCAGTGACGGGAGACTCACCAGCTTCTGGAAGAGGTGGCCCATGGTGACCTGGCTGTCCCACTGCTGCACCTTGGGACAGAGGTTGTCATAGAACTCCTTGTGGATCTCATAGATGTCCTGGATCTTATAGAAGATGGTTTCGATCTGCTGGATGGTGAGCACGGGCTGGGAGGTGGTGGCTGTGGCCTTCAGAGGTTTCATGGGCTGGGTGAGGGAGAGGAAGGAAGAGCGGAGGTAAGGCGTACATAAACTCACTGTCAGCAGGCCTAGGACAGGTTGTAGCATTGATCCTGCTGCAACAGTCCTGCCTAGATAAGGCCATTTGCCTTCAAGGCAGGGCACCCGAAGCATGGTTTGTATCAAGGAGCTGCTGTCACATGTCCTAAGAAGCCAAACTCCACTTCAAAGAGAAGGAGCCTGGCCCAGTAGCACTGCCTGGCCCAAGGGGTGGAGCTAGAGCATACTCCTCTCACCCTTGTCCAGTCGCTTTAACACCCATCCTGTACTGGATTTGCTTGACAATTTAACAGGATCCATGTCTCTCTCTCACCATGGCCTCATCCCGAGTCATAAACTTTCTTGTCATATTTCAACAGAAAGAGGGCTGAGTGGGAACTCAATCTCTTAGCCATTTCTCTCCTAGAACCATGGTTCTAGGACTCGAAAAGACCTAAGGCTGGACTCAGCTTCACTGATACTCCATGTTCCCATCATTAGTACAGGTAGAGGAAGCAGGTGGCACACATGCCAGCCACCTTCCCATCTCCTGCATCTGTGTCAGACATCACTAAGAAATCACAATGATCTTTCCTATTGAGCCTGGTTGTAGTCTCAGCCTCTTAATGTAGGGCAATTATTCTGTCACCCCTGCTTGTCTACCCCAAAATGTTCCAGGATCTGCAAGTGAAAAAGGGAAGTAACAGATAGTAATTCAGTACCCACCTCCCTCCCACCTTAATACACAACAGCAGGACTGTGGGATAATGAGGCAGGGGTGATTATTCTTCAATGTACTTTTCTGTATTTTCTAAATTGTCTATAATGAATAAATATTCAGTTTTATAGTTAGAAAAAAAAAATAAATGCTATTAAAAATTCATAATTGAAACAAACATGCTGATACTGATGCATGATACTGATAGTCCTCCTTGGTTGACTCAAAAGCCCCAATGCCCCCATACTTCACTCCAAAGGCCCTCCAAGTGACAGACTCTGGAAACCAGTTACATAGAGAAAGCGTGAGAGGGGAGAGCGTGTTTACCTGGAACAGAGAAGCCTGAGTCAAATGTATGGTGATGTTCTTCATCTATTTCAAGGGCTAAGTGGAAAGAGGCCTTACTCTGGAGACTCAGGAGCAGTGGGCAAAATTATGCTGGCAGATATGGGCTGCATTATAGTAAAGAATGGGCAATTCAACTGCTGAAAATGCTGGGCTGGAGGGAAGACCTTCCCTGAGGGAGACCAAAGATATTGCTGGCTCCTTCCGGGTGATGAACACCAGCTCAAAGAAACCACAGCAGTGTAACTCCCAGCCAAGCTTCACTCCATCCTCCCATCTGCCACTTCACCCTGATGGTGGTAGAGCTCAAGGCTGTCCATGAGAAGAATGCCTTCTACACAAACACCCAGACAATGCTCCAACTTTTGGTTCCTTTGTTCTCTAAGCTCTAAAAAGTCTGGACACAACGATGGAGGCAGGAAAAGGCAGAACCTCCTTGTTACCCTTTCAGCACTGGAAACAACTGATCCTTAGTATCTAGTTCCTACAAGCAAAGTGAGATGAGGTTCAACCTGGTACGGACCAGGCAGCATGGGTTTGAATCCAATCTTGGTCACTTAATAACTGTGGGCAAATCACCTACCATTTCTTGGTCTCAGTGGCCTCACTTCTAAAACTGGGATGATCTCACCTTCTTCAGAGGACTATTGAGAACACCAAAGGCCATAATTTAGATAAAATACCTAGTATGTGCCTGACACATCAAATCAAACCAAATTCACTGCCATCGAGTCATGACTCAGAGTGACCCTCGTTGGGTTTTCGAGGCTGTCAATCTTTACGGAAGTAGAATGCCCACTTTCCCTTCTGTGGAATGGTTGGTGGGTTTGAACCGCTGACCTTCTGGTTAGCAACCAACTGCCTTATCCACCACACCATCAGAGCTCCTTGTACTTGGCACATAGAAGGTAATAAATGTTAGCTGCTACTATTATTATTATTATTCCAACAAACCTGTACCAACTGCCTAATGTGAGGCAAGACGGGGTATTCAGTGATGAACATAACATACAATCACTGCCCTATTGGATCTTCCAGTCTAGTTAAGTCTCCCAGGCTTGGGGAAGAGACAGAATTAGTAACACAAGGAACCAAACAAACAGAATTACACTAAGGAAGAGAATTCTGAAAAGGAAATCAAGAAAGTAATTATCATTTACAATAACCACACAAAAGATGAAGTACTTAGGAAAAAATCTAACCAGAGACATAAAAGACCTGTACAAAGGAAACTACAAAACACTATTACAAGAAATCAAAAGAGGTTTACGTAAATGGAAAAATATACCATGCTTATGGATAGGAAGACTTAACATCATGAAAATGTCAATACCACTCAAAGCAATCTATAGATACACAGCAATCCCAATCCAGATTCCATCATCTTCCTTTAAAGAGATGGAAAAACTAATCACTAACTTTATATGTTAAAGAAAGACCTCAGATATATAAAAGCACTACTGAAGAAGAACTGGAGCTCTGGTGGCATTGTGCCTAAGGCACTTGACTGCTAACCAGAAGGCTGGTGGTTCAAACCCACCAGCCATTCCTCGGAAGGAAGGCTGGGCAATCCTACTTCCGTAGTGCTACTGCCTTGGAAACCCAAGGTGGGGTTGCTATGAGTCAGGCTCGACTCAACAGCACATAACAACAACAAAGAAGAATAAAGTAGGAGGCGTCACACTCCCTGATCTCAAAACCTATTATAAAGCCACAGTAGTTAAAACAACCTGGTACTGGTACAATGACAGACACATATACCAATGGAACAGGATTGACAACCCAGAAGTAAATCCACCCATCTACGGACAGCTAATCTTTGACAAATGGCCAAAAGTCATTAAATGGGGAAGAGAGAGCCTTCTTAATGAATCATGCTGGCAAAAGTGGATATTCATTTGCAGAAAAATGAAACAAGACCCGTATCTCATACTATATACAAAACCAAACTCAAGTTGGATCAAAGATAGGAGGGGAGGAGAGGGGACACCGTTAAGTATTGATTTGGGTGAAGGGAAGGGCAATGTACCAAATGTGAGTGATCAACATGGTAGTAGTGAGGAAGAGGAAGAAATGGAGAGGTGCATGGGAGGTACAGACAACAAAGATGAAACCATTTGCAAATACAGTACTGTGTTGTCAGTGAAGGCAAACATTGATATATGGGTGGAAAAATGGGTGGACAGGCTGAACTATTAAGTATGTGTATGTAGAGGGTAGTGTGCCCAAAACCATGTATAGGGTTGGCAGATAACATTTCTACAAGTGTATGTGTATGTTGTGTAAGAATTTTTAGGTACATAGTACAGCTGACAAGGGACAAGGTTGTAGTCACTTCTTGGCCACAGCCAGCACCCAAAGGGAGTGAGTAGTTGGATTTGTGGGCTCGGGACCATAGTTGCAGGGGACATCAAGCTCAATTGGCACACTACACAAAAACACTGTTCCACATCCTACTTTGGCAAGTAGCGACTGGGATCTTAAAAGCTTGCAAGCGGCCATCTAGCTGCAACAATGGGTCTCTCTTCATCCAGAGCAAAGAAGAATGAAGAAAACCAAAAACACATGGAAACAATTAGTCTGAGCAACCGGTACACCATGCAATCTGCAGCCTATACAACTATGAGACCAGAAGAACTAGATGGTGCCCGGCTACCACTGTCAACTACTCAGAGGGGGAATCTATGTAGGAAATCCTGGATAGAGTGGGAAAACAATGTGGAACAAAACTTGAAATCATTTAAAAAAAAAAAAAAAAGGACCAGGTTTGCTAGTCTGATAGAGCCTGATGAAACCACTGAGACTATGGCCCCTAGCTGCCCTTCAGGTCTGGAATTGAACCCACTCCTGTGGCTTCCAGCCTAACAAAAGACAGGCATATCAGCTGAACATTTATATTAGGCAGATACACTTCTTGGAGAGATCAATCATGGGAGAATAGAAGGACTATGTACACACAGAGAGCCAGCTCGGGGAGCAGGAGTGCATGGGAGGGAAGGACACAGGGAAGAGGTAACTGTGGGAAGGAAGTGGGAGGGGAGCTATTGCATTATGTGGGAAATTGTAGTCAATGTCATGAGACAAAGTGTATGTGAACTGCTGTATGGAAGGGGAATTTCCTCTGTAAACTTTCGCCCAAATCACAATAAAAATAAAAATAAAAATAAAATAGTTGGATCAAAGACCTAAATGTAAAACCTAAAACCATAAAGATCATCAAAGAAAACTAGGGACAAATGTCAAACCAAAGTCACTGCCAATGAGTCAATTCTGACTCATAGCAACCCCCACTGGGTTTCCAAGGCTGTAAATCTTTACAGAAGCAGACTGTTTCACCTTTCTTCTGCAGAGCAGCTGGTGAGTTTGAACCACTGATCTTCTGGTTAACAGCCAAATGCCTTAACCACTACACCACCAGAGTTCCTTAGGGACAAATCTGCTGTTGTTGTTGTTATATGCCGTCGAGTCGGACCCGACTCATAGCGACCCCTCCTTGGGTTTCCAAGGCAGTATCACTATGGAAGTAGATTG